CTGTGAAGAGACTGAATGTCTCTTCCAGAAAAAAGGAAGGCTTACTAGACTGCAGTTCAGAAGATCTGCAGCATTTGCGAGCTCTTTTAAGATATACCCCTAATGAATATATGCTTGAAAAAGTAATGCATGTATTCACTGAAGGTATTTCTACTAAATAGTGATTTTTTTATTAATTTTTTTACTCTGTGGACAGTGGAGTACCCCTTTAAATCGAGGCCAAATGAGATACGTACAGTTAATCCATAGGGTTTGTGTAAAAACAACCCTGTATCCACCCTCAGCTATTCATATGCCCCGTACATAAAAGACCATTTCTTTATTAAGATATTTTAATATAAGTGTAAGTGTGTTTAAGTGTGTATTTAACCTTTTTTTCAGTTGCCAAACAGATCATGCAATACACTTGCTGTGGACTATGTCTCAGTCTTATGAAAATAATAACACATTTGTGTTGTTAAGTGCATATTATAAGATGCAAGCAAAAACAGAACATTTTGCTTTCCATTTTTCTGTTATTTGTTTGATTTTTAATTCACCAAACTGCCACAGCTGCCACATACGTGTTATGAGCCCACAAAGATCACATAGAGAATGGTGCAAACAGCAGTGAAGTATGATACTCAGAGATAATACATATTATATCATATGTGAGTGTAGTTACATAATTACAACCGATACTTATAGTTCGATTTTGTATATGTAAAACAGATTTTTGTATATAAATAAAAAATGTTTTAACATATTTACTAAAAAATACAAATGCACTAATAACACAATGCTGTATTGTACAGTGTTATTGTACATGCTTATGTAATGATGTATTGTACAGTGCTTTATTTCCACTTTTTATATTTATTATATAATCTTGCTCAGCTAATATCTGCTGCAGATCAATGGATGGATTTTACAGAAACTCCAAGATATGGCATTCAGTGAAAAACATGCTAAAAAATAGTATTGCACATTCCATCCGGATTCTTAACTTTTGAGAACACCTGGTAACCAGCACATAAATACAATCCATTAAAGTAATAAAATTAATAAAATTATCAGAGAAAGGTTCATAAAAACACACCCCATGTCCACATACATCTATGAATACAGAGGCGGGATTTAGGGAATTTTTTAATCACGTACTCTCACGGGCTGTCTTTGACACTGTATATGGGAGAGAGTTATTAAAGGCAGATGGCCTAGACATCTCCTGACAATATTAGATGTATGTATTAAGTGAGATTTAATAGTGAATTCAAATTTAAGGCCAGAGCAGCCAAACTGAAAGTACAACTTGCTTAGAGAATTATTCCAGTTCAGTTATTTTGACCTTAAATTAATTTAGACTCACACTTTATTGAATAACCTTCTAGAGCAGGGGTAGGCAACCTTTTAGCAGCACTGTGCCGATATGGGATTGTGATGTCCCGTAGCGTGCCGGTCCTATTTTTTTTAAATTGAGGTGTGTATGCTGCCGTATTCTGCTTGTGCTATTTTTACTGTAATTGCTTTGTATCGTTGTATTTGTGCGTATATGAGCTATTATATTGTATATGTTCATTAGTAGTTTATGGTATCGTGCATGATACATATGAATGTGGGCTGTGTATGAGGGCTGCTTGTGGAATTGTGTGTGGATGGATATGTCACATAGTGTGTTTGGTGGTGTGTGGATGTGGGGCTGTTTGGGGTATTGCATGTGAGAGGCTGCATGTGGGATTGTGTGCATGTATGTGGATTGTTAGTGGTGTTGCGTTTGTGGGGATTGTGTGTATGTTTGTGTGTGGGCTGTTTGTATTATTTGTATGAGGGGAGGGTTATTCTGCAGCTCTGTGTTTATCTAGCAGTGTGGGTGGCTTCCCTGGGTTCCAGTGGGGACCAGGCTGGCCAGGTACAGGTCAAGGACAGGAGCTGCAACAGCAGCTGCAGGCTGCTCTACTACAGTGTGGATTCCCATTCACAAGTGCTGGGAGTAAGTGATCTGAAATAACTTACTCTATGTGCTGCAATGCATAAATTGAGGATGTTCCTTCACCACCTTTTCATATTAGCAGATATCTGAAGTTTCACTGAGACTCCTGATAGGCCACAGCCTGTTTGGCTCTAGCAGCCTTGAGTGCTGTGGAAAGGCATGGCACTAGTGTCGTAGGTTGTCTACCCCTGTTCTAGATGCTAGAAGAGTACTACCAGCATTATGAGATGGACACATTCTTAGACAAAAACATTTAGGAACTCCTAGCAGAGAAATTAGCAGGAACCCATCTTCATATATTACTCCCCAAAGCTTCTTTTTGGATAGGAAGGAAACTGACTATTATTATTATTATTTGTTGTTATTTATTATAAACCACAACTAACTATGAATGAATCGCAGGAACCTTATAACTGCAAGACTGTTGCAAAACAACTCCAGTCCATCCTTTACTTTAACCTGTGTATAAGTATGTGGCATGGGATGTAAACAGCATTCACTGGATTGGTGTAAACCTATGCGAACTGTTTCAAAATTCACAGTAATGCATATATAGCGGAGATCCACAGTAATAATACTCACAGTAACGCTCAGTGTGTATGAGTAATAATACTCACAGTAATGCTCACTGTGTATGAGTAATAATACTCACAGTAATGCTCACTGTGTATGAGTATGTAGCGGAGATCCACAGTAATAATACTCACAGTAATGCTCACTGTGTATGAGTAATAATACTCACAGTAATGCTTACTGTGTATTGTATATAGGGGAGATCCACAGTAATAATACTCACAGTAATGCTCACTGTGTATGAGTAATAATACTCACAGTAATGCTCAGTGTGTATGAGTATATAGGGGAGATCCACAGTAATAATACTCACAGTAATGCTCACTGTGTATGAGTAATAATACTCACAGTAATGCTCACTGTCTATGAGTATATAAGGTAGATCCACAGTAATAATACTAACAGTAATGCTCACTGTGTATGAGTTTATAGGGGAGATCCACAGTAATAATACTCACAGTAATACTCACTGTGTATGAGTAATAATACTCACAGTAATGCTCACTCTGTATGAGTAATAATACTCAGATTAATGCTCATTGTGTATGAGTTATAATACTCAGATTAATGCTCATTGTGTATGAGTAATAATACTCAGATTAATGCTCATTGTGTATGAGTAATAATACTCGCAGTAATGCTCACTGTGTTTGGGTATAAAGTGAAGATCCTCAACAACTAACAGTAATGAATGTACAGTTTAACCCTGCATCTTATTGTTTTATTCACCTATATACATACCTCTATTTCCCCTCTGATTTCTGCCCTCTGCCCCTATGTTATTTTATTGATATCTAACCAAGTGTTAGTTTTGCTAGAACAACCATCACGTAATCTCTGTGCTCAGATGCACATGCCCTTTCCTCAGCTTTATTGCAGACCTATCTTACCCTCATATATCTGTCTCCCACAGCCTGACTTACAAAGAGCTTTCAGACCCAGCAGTGCTGCAAGAAAGTTTGTTCTTTAGCAAATACTATTCTATCAACCTAATGTTCTACCCCTTCCCTTACCTTGTGTCACTTTACCCCAGTCCCTATAGCATGTAAGCTCATTGAGCAGGGCCCTCAACCCCTCTTTGCTTCAAACTTGCCTTGTTATAATTATATATTTGTTAGTCCTTCAATTGTATGACATTGTTGGCCCTATATAAATAATAACAAATAAAATAGTAAAAATACTCATTGTAATATGCACTATGTATAAAATAATAACAAATAAGGAATGATTTGTCATCATCTGCTTGACCAGCGGTATAACATGTATGATATAATGAGATTTGCCTGAACCTGGGACTTTAAGAGCTTTATAAATTATCATAAATGTTTTTAGAATTTAATTTGTGTAAATTAATACTTTTTTTATTCCCCCCATTAAAAACTATTTTGTAGGTCATGTAATGAACTGCATTGTTCTCTAAGACAATCTCACTTTCTGTGTCTGTACCTTCCTGAACTAACTAGAATGCTGGGGGACATCTGAAGTGTAAGGATTTTTTATGCCCAAAAAGTATTTTCAAGTTAAAGGACCACTATAGTGCCAGGAAAACAAACTCGTTTTCCTGGCTCTATAGGGTCTTTAGGTCCCCCCCACCCTTTAGGGTCCCACTGCCGCCGGGCTGAAGGGGAAAGAAGGGGTTAAATTCTTACCTTTCTCCAGCACCTCTCCTCCCTCTTCCGACGTCATCCGCTGAAAGCCTCACGCACATTCAGTCAGTCCATAGGAAAGCATTTCTCAATGCTTTCCTATGGACGCTGGCATCTTCTTACTGTGAAAATCACAGTGAGAAGTGCGGAAGCGCCTCTAGAGGCTGTCAATGAGACAGCCACTAGAGCCTGGACTAACCCTAATGTAAATATAGCAGTTTCTCTGAAACTGCTATGTTTACAGTTGCAGGGTTAACCCTAAATGAACCTGGCACCCAGACCACTTCACTGAGCTGAAGTGGTCTGGGTGCCTATAGGGGTCCTTTAAGCCTGTGTATGGTGTGTGTTTAGTGAGTGCAATATGCATATCACATATAGAAAGTGTGTCTATAAGTCTCTGTATATTTCACTATGTGAAATGCTGGACTGTGGTTTACACGTCTGTCTACAGGTCATTGTATGTGATAGCACATATGACACTGTTTGTTGTGCATGTCTGATACTGTGTGGCATGTGTGTTCATGATAAAAAGGGAGAGAGATTGTCTGTAAAATGTATGTTAGGTGTGACATTATTTTCTGTCAGATAGTGTGAGCAGTGTAATTTCTGCCACAAACACACAGAACCATTTGCACTTGTAGCCACTTAGTTCCTCTGAGTGGACATGCTGCACTGTGTGGTCAGGGTCATATGATACTAGTGTTACTGAACTGTAGAGGGAAAAGTATATATTTTAATACATTTCATGGTAATAATAAAAGAAAGATGGCAGAACAGCTCCACCTGCAGGTCAGGATTGTAAGCTGTCCCGGTTAGTGGTGCTGAATGAAACTGCAGGTTTTATGCTCCGTGTTGCTCAGAAATTTGTGACTGTGTTGACTGACTGCACAGAAATACACAGCCGAATCTGCCATCAGAGAACTAGACAATGTCAGGGTGGAATTCAGACGAGAAGGCCTGTTCCAAGCCCACGACTTGAATTCATCTTCCATTGCATCAGTTTTAGCATTTTCCTCTGTTGAATATATCATAAGCTTCAGTGCTTCTCCAGGTCGCTGTTGGTACCAATACATAGCAAACATGCTGTTGTCATCGTGTTTACATTGAAGCTCCACCGGCTTCCCAACCTCAACAATGATAAGTTTGGAGCCCTGTTCAACCTTCACCCCAAGACAAAAACCTGCCGAAAACACAGAAAGAGAAATATAAAGTGTTTATAATATCAGATCTAAGGTTCATTTTTGACAATGAAACAAGCTATTGTTAAGATACACTTATATTTCAAACACCTGGCAATTAAATAGTAAGCATTAAAATTAAGTCTGCAAATAGCAGAAAATCAGGAAAATTCTATCACATTTAATATAGCATGTGACCCACGGTCCACTCTGAAATTTATACAGAACCCAACATGTGAGCAACACATTCAAAAGATAAATCTCAGATTCTTTTAATATAGCTTCCACCGCCCCGCCCCCTCTCATCTCCCATACACACACACATCAATCTCTGCCCTATACCTGCCGGCCCTTGTGCCTCTTACATGGTAGGAAGATCAGCACTGAATGCAATGAGAATGTTGCCCACATTTCCCCCATCAAGAACTCGGTGATCAATTTCCTGGAACAAGCGTCAGTTTAAATTATGTTGTTTTTTTTTCACTTCTATCTTTTTGAGTGTTTGCCCTAAATTTATGGTGTAAGATTATTTTCAGTAACTAATGTTCTGTTTATAATTCTCATGAAATAAATCGTTCTGATCCCATGTTATTATATCTCCCACCAGCAAGTCTGCTCGATGTCCTATGATAAGACTCTAATGGCTCAGACTGGATATTGTGAATGTTTCTGCAGATGTCTTGTGGTTTTGGGCTTCCGGCCTTATTCAGGAAGCCTTCTGTCTATAAGTACAGGTCCTCGCAATTTATAACAACTGAAAAATATCTCTACTCCAGCTGTACATGATGATAATACAGAATCCTAACTGAAGAACGCAAAATATACAACTCAAGATCTAAACTACATTACAAAAAGTAGAATTTCAATTTCAAGCAGGCTCATCAAAATTTGGGCAAGCCACCTTGACGAGTGCAGAACTAACTAATTACTAGAAGTGAAATTCTATAACATGAATCTCTGTATATTACACGTCTCAGCGGGATCACTCTGCATTTTAGAGTTTCCATTTAGTTTCCTTTAGACCTTTCTAAGAAAAATATAACATTGTTGCAATTCCTCTCATGCTCAACAAGTGTTGAGTAGACATGACAGGAGCTTTTAAAGAAAACCTGCCTCAAAACTTCATTTATGGTTTTATTTTTAAGATAATTACATTTAATGAAACTTCATGAATTTTATTTATAAATTATGTATAATTATTATTTATTTTGATGTATAATTATTATTTTAATATTTATTGCTGCTCCACATCAATAAAATTCACAGTAATATGTGGTGTTTATGAATGTATTATTGTTGATCTCATAGATCTCAATAGCAGTAGAGCTTACCGTAATCCTCGGTGACTGCGTTAATACAAGGCTATTCTTCTTCAACTATTTGACCCAGGACATACTTGAAAAACCCAGGACATACTTGAAAACGAGAGAAATCTCAACGTATCTTTCCTAGTAAAATATTTTATAAAAAAAATAATAAATTTGAAATGTTGGAGGTGTAGTAAAGTGTGCAAATATGTAGCATGGTTTGTAATATTATGGTAATAGTTATGAAGTGATTGGAATTCAAATAGAATTTAAAGTGAATTGCATGTTGTAGGCTAATATAACTAAATTGGAAAAATCTTTAATTTGTTGCAGTGTTACATAATGTCAGTTTTACTCTGTATAACAAGCAAATCAGTGAAAGATAGTGTGGAACAGCTCCACCTGCAGGTCAGTATGTTGAATTGTTCCCTTCCTAGAGCTGTCCCTGTGAGTGGTGCTAAATGATGCTGCATGTTTTGTGCTCAGTGCTGCACAGGGATTTGTGGCTGTGTTTACTAGCAGCACAGAAATACACGGCTGAATCTGAAGTCTGAGATTTGGGCAATTTCAGGCTGAATTCCAGACGTCTCGTCCTGTTCCAAGCCCACGACTTGAACTCATCTTCCATTGCGTCGCTTTTAGCATCTTCGCTTGTAGAATGTATCATAAGCTTCAGTCCCTGTCCGGGCCGCTGTTGGTACCAAAACATTGCAATATAGCTGCTGTCATCATGTTTACATTGAAATTCCGCTGGTTTCCCAGCCGGAACAATGATTAGCTTGGGATCCTGTTCAACCTTTACCCCAAGACACAGACCTGACAGAAAATACACAGAGAGAGAAATCTATATTAAGGATTTTATAATATCGTAAATCATGTTTCGTTAACAGCGTTGGCAGACAATATTTTCTAAAACAGGTTTCTAAGTGGTGCAGTAAAATAGCATAAATGACAATAGAGCTACTAAACGTAGATTCCTTCACAATCTGTTGGATTAGTGATTGCGTTTAATTTTATTAAGTGTTTCCCCATTCTCTTTGCACTTCAAACATATTGAGATATAGCAGGTAATTATCAAGAGTCCCTATCACTGCTTCCCCAGTACTTTGCACATATCCCCCTGTACTACTTACATGGTAGAAACGTGAGAATTGCATATAATGAGAATATTGTCCACATTTCACCCAACAAGATGTCGCATATCAGTTTCCTGGAATGAGAATAACCGTCCGTTTAAACTGTACTGCATTAAGCATTCACTGTGGAATGTGTAAGTGAAGACTGCTTTTGATTAGAATACATTGTGTTTTCCTAGTGAAGTTAATCTTTTTGATCACATGCAATAACCCCTCCCATCAGTAAGTCTGCTCGATGTCCTCTAATCAGGAGGAACTGTACATTATGAACACTTTAGAAACGTTTTGTGGTTTCTTTCTTCCTGTCGTATTCAGGAAGCCTTCTGTCTATAAAAACAGATGCTCTCGATTGATAAGAAATGACAAATATCTCCAGCGGGGGTTCTGAGAGGCTTACATAAAGCTATTATAGAAACACTCTACTAGAAAGCCATGATTTAGTAAATAAATCCCATTGATACTTCTGCAAAAGGACTTAAATGTACAGCCATATCAACACCCACTAGTTTAAATGCCTTAAATAATAAAAAAATAATTTTGTTCTGGGTCAAATTTCATCCACATTCAAACACATTCAGCAATTCCAAAGTGTTCAAATTTCAAACTCTGTAAAATTAGAATGAATCGAAAAATTCAGGACGAATTATGGCAAAAAATGTTTTAGATCCATTTGTTTTCATAAAGATAGCAAATTAGGAACTTATCTATTAAGCAACTAAAACAGCAATGTTAAGAAAGGCCTTTTTTTTCTTAATTTTGATAACTGTAATCAGCTGTTTAGTAGATAACTTACTAATTTTCTATCATTACGTGTGATTGCCATAACTAAGGGTACCAACTTATCTGCTGGGCAACTGGTTGGCAAAACTTTTGAATCATTTACCATTTAAACCGGTGGGGAGATATTAATTTGAATAATAATAATAATTAAATAATTTTACTTTGCAAATGGTTTTACCTTGTATTATTAATTAATTAAGTTCCATTATATGATTACTTTTTAATTACTGCAGATATCTAGTTTCCTATTTTTTCTTGTGTTTATTTGTATGTGTCTGTGTCCACTAGGAGAGCTTTAGAACAGCACAGCTACCATCTGAGACCCCAGACTGCCAATTCAGTATTGGACTCCAAAAATCCTGAGAGAGTCACACACTTATTGGCCCCCACCTGCAAAGTTAAGAACTTGGGAAACAGTGATTCATTTTATTTTGTGTTTAGCTGCCTAATTTGGTACACTTACGTGGGACGACTATTTTTAAGGGTACCAAAGTAGTGAGCTATCTGCTAAACAGTGCCTTAATTTAGTATCCTGTGGAATAATGGAAATAGGGGCATCCAAATTAGTTTTTGAAATTTTTATGAATTACGGCCCTTCCAAATTGATAATTTCAGATTTTCAAACAAACTGAAATTTGACAATGAATGGATAAAAACAAGACAAAGAAATGTTTCGCCCATGCAAATCTCTATTTAATAATGTATGGTAGAAAATCATAACTGAAGGCATTTATTCCTTCTTGCCCAACTTATGCAATATGTTGGATGGGAGAGAATGGAAAGGAATGAAATGGATGGATGGAGGATAGATGGACGGATGGATGGAACGATGCATGTTTATAAATGCAATACAATATTTAATTTTATAGAAATTTTTTTTTATTATTATTTTTTTTGCACTTATACCTTTTTACACTGTTCTCTCACCTCTTAAATATGCAATTTCTCCTGATATGGAATTCTATAACCATTTGCAAATACAATTCAATAGCCAGATTCAAGCCTAGTTCTCGTTATGGAATCATTCTGTTACTGCATTGCATTGTTCCCTCTCTGGAGCTGTCCCTGTTAGTGGTGCTGAATGAAGCTGCAGGTTTTATGCTCAGTGTTTCTCAGAGATTTGCAACTGTGTACACTGACTGCGCAGAAATATACAGCCGAATCTGTAGTCTGCGATTTTGACAATTTCAAGGTGGCATTTAGAAGAGTAGGCCTTTTCCACTCCCACACCTCGAACCCATCTTCCATTGCATCAGACTTAGAATTATCAGTAGCAGAATATATCATGAGCTTCAGTCCTTCTCCGTCTCGCTGCTGGTACCAAAGCATTCCGGGCTTGCTGGTGTCATCATAAATACAGTGAAGTTCCACTGGTTCCCCAACTTTAACAATCTTGAGTTTCGAATCTTGTTCAACTTTCAGTCCTAGACACAGACCTGATAAAAACAAAGAATATAAATAATTATTTTTTTTAAATGATTTAGTCTTTCTCCCTTTTATATCTTGGAAGAACAGTAAAAATTCATATTTAAATGCATCTGTTATTTTTTAAAAGTTGTAACCTTTTTACATCTTAAGTCTATATTTGTCACAGTCCCACCTGAACCTCACACTTGGTCTCCCCATCACTCTCCCCTCTTTATCACTCACATTATCTCCCCCAATCACTGCCCTTCCCTATGCCATTCACATTGGACCCCTCATCGTTGCCTTCCCTGTACCACTTACATGGTAGGATGATCAATAGTGCATGCAGTGAGAATTGTGTCCGCATTTTATCCAACAAGATCTTGACATCTACTTTGCTGAAATAAAAATAACTATCAGTAGTGTAATGTTTGCCCTAAAATGTTTAGAGAAAGACTCCTTACAGTAAGAAATGTGTATAAACCTAATGAAATAAAGCCTTCTTATTCCATGTAATGACCATTCCCACCAGTGAGTCTGTTCTATGTGCTCTCATCAGGCACTAGTGTCTTATACTGTACAACGTGAACTTTTCAGATAGGTTGTGTGGTTTCTGTCTTCCTGTCTTATTGAGGAAGTCTTCTTTCTATAAAGGCAGGTTCTCACAATTTATGATAACCGACAATAATATCCTCTCCAGCTGGGTTTTGAGAATTCTGAGAGTTGTTCTTGAGAAGCACTTCAATTTCCACATTCCATATTTATCACTCTAATTGAATGTTCCTTCTTCATTTTATTGTTCTAAATCCATGCCTTACCTTCCACATTCCACAGAAATTCCATTCCATTACTCACTCTGTTTAACACCCCAAACCATGCTTCCACTCCTCATTCGAAAACCTTCCCATACAATGCAGGTCCTCCACCATGCAACTTTATACCAGCCTGCTCCTGGTAATACCTATCTTAATAAATGCTTTATGTTCTTATTAATTTTCATGCTTTCAGAAAACTTCATATTGTTTTATATATCTTTTAAATATATATTTATTTTTTACATCATAACTACCTTTTCTTGTTTGCTAACTGCACAGAAATACATGACCAAATCTGCAATTTGACAATTTAAGGGTGGAATTCAAACCTTATCACTTGTAGAAAATATCATAAGTTTCAGTCCCTCTACGGGTCATTGTGACTTTCTTTTTTTGTCTTTTTTCTGAATTGATAAATATTTTATTTTTGCATTTGCACATTTAACTATTTAAACAATTCTTTTCATTAATAAGTCGCTTTGATTAACATCTCAGCAAATGCTTATACAATATCAGCAGTATCTAGAAAGGACATAAGTATTCACAAACATGTTTGAGTCCATCAGTAAAATAATTTTAAACAGAGTGTGGGCATGTAATAATAACCTGTAGATACATAACAATTGAACATGTGTCTTGTGAACTGTAAAATACAGTTTAAAAAATGAAAATTTGATTTTTCCACACACCCATACCTTTCCTGAATGTCTGTATATATGATAATTCAATAAATAATTCACTCTCCAGATACTGCCACACTGGCAATATTTATCTGCCACAGTCTCTATCTGTACCTCTCACATGGCACCACCTTGCTTCTCCTTATTGCTCCCCCTGTACCTCTCATATAGCACCACCTTCTTATCACTCCCCCTGTACCTCTCACAGAGCACCCCATTGCTCCCTCATTTACCTCTTCCATGGTAGGAAGATCAGCACTGCATGGCACGTTGTGTCCACTTATTGTGACATCAATATTCAGTCTCTTGGTAAAAGAAAATTAGTTTCACAAAATTCATAAATCAAAATTAAACCTCCCATTCATCACAGTTCACTGAATATATTTTTGCTAAATTTCAATTTAAAAAGCACAAGCTTATTTACAAAAGTGAGAATTGCTGGGAATATAAAGTGACTTTCAAAGGTCAAAGTAGCCGGAATGAACACTGAATTTACTTGGATATTTAAAAAAAAAAAATTATTTGAAACTCACTTTGAAATTACTTTGAATTTCAACAATTTGCACCTTAGTAAAAACCCTGAATGTCTATGGCAAGCTCTGTAACACGTTGGAATCTGCCCCAGTTATATAAGAATTCCTTCTTGTCATGATAATGTTTGCTCAGTGAGTTGCAACCTTGCCTGGTTAAACTAATAATTTTATATCAGGAAGTATTGCTTTACTGAGAGGGTAGTGGATATATGGAATAGCATTCCAGCTGAAGTGGTAGAGGTTAACACAGTAAAGGAGTTTAAGCATGCGTGGGATAGGCATAAGGCTATCCTAGCTAAAAGATAAGGCCAGGGACTAATGAAAGTATTTAGAAAATTGGACAGACTAGATGGGCTGAATGGTTTTTATCTGCTGTCACATTCTATGTTTATATGAATGTCTGTGTCTTTTCTGTGAGCTACAGTCTGGCAGGTAGTAGGTTAAACTGTACACTTAAAGGACCACTCTAGGCACCCAGACCACTTCAGCTTAATGAAGTGGTCTGGGTGCCAGGTCCTTCTAGGGTTAACCCATTTTTTTATAAACATAGCAGTTTCAGAGAAACTGCTATGTTTATCAATGGGTTAAGCCTTCCCCTAATCCTCTAGTGGCTGTCTCATTGACAGCCGCTAGAGGCGCTTGCGTGCTTCTCACTGTGATTTTGAATGGGAGGGGGTCCCTGAGGGTGGGGGCATCCTCAGTACACGATAGTGCCAGGAAAACGAGTATGTTTTCCTGGCACTATAGTGGTCCTTTAACCCAGTGTGTCTGCTGAACAAATCAAAAAGACGTAAACATGGGGGTAATCGGTGTGCTGCAAAATAGAAAAATAATATAATATCATGTATATATTTTGTAGTATTATCATTATTATTTTTATTACTGGTATTTATATAGCGCCAGTATATTCCATAGCGTTTTACAATACAGTACACTGATAGAAGCCTTTTCTCACTATTTAAGGCACAAATCAACTAAGAAAAAGAGGAGGAGCAGTAAAATATATATATGCATATATTATATATTTACTAAATATATAAATATAGAGGTTTTTACTAGTTTTTACTATTTCCCCACTATCTGGTTATTGGTTAATTTTCACTTGAATAAACTCAGCAATTAGTGACTATGCCAAGGCCACCAATCATCTTATTTTGAGAAGTCATCATTGTGACTCTAAAAATCATGATTCCGCAATTATCCCAGAGTTCCTGATTAATATGTAAATGAGCACAGACAGGTATATTGTTTGGGATTTTATCTTGCATTGCTGCAGGTACCTTTAGCTATGGATGCTGTTTTAAACACACTTGTTCTTTTTTTTAAAACCACTATATAAGACTTAGCATCCCTTATATTATCACATGTGTATCTTTTGGTTGGTTTGAAATTTCAAAAACATTCAACACATTTACTGTTCTATATTTACAAGATAGTTTTCCATATATTTTCCATAAATGCGATAAAGTATCAAAGAAAATGTCCCTTTACAAAAATATTTCATTTATATCTGATTTACTGTTCGCTGTTCAGTAATTTACAATAAAAAAAAAATGAAAGAGGAGCACCCCCTGCTGGTGAGATTAGTGCTTCCAATGTATGTTCTGTAACGATAAATAATTGGGATATGTTTTGTGCCAGCTTTGTCTCAGCTTCCGATGGCTGTGTAACTGGATGCACAGAAATACACGGCAGAGTCTTGGATGCTCACTGTCCCATTCCGCTTCAGAATGGACTCCTCCAGATTTGGTCTTTCAATATCCCAGTTGCCCTTGAAGTTCTCCTCCATGGTGGAATCATGCTCCCTTGCTGATATTCCCATGAGTGCTAGACCATCTCCTGGTTTCTGTTGGTACCAGAGCATAGAATAAGCACCCGTTTTGTCATCATGTCTACAGTGAATATTTGCCGGTTCTCCAACTGTGACCAGTTGAAGACTTTTTTCTTGAGTTACCACCACACCCTGGCACAGACCTGGAAGGCATAATCAAAACACAGAGAGGGGTCATCATTTAATTACTTAATTATTTCATTTTCACTTCACACTACCCTGAAACTGAACTAAAATCTCAATATATTTACCCAATAACCAAAGTGACCTACAAAAACTTTACTGCATCTTTTTTATCTTTCCATCAAAGGAAACATTATTACATGTTTTTATTTATTTTAAGGTTGATGTCCTTAAATTGTTATTGTCCATCATTTTACTATTAATTTGTGCTTGACTTTAATTTTATACTTTCTGCACGCTTAACAATTAATCTTGTATATAGACTATAAAAAAATATATTCTATAATAAAGTGAGTGCCAAGGAACTTATATTTTTAATCATCCTATTGCTGTATCTTTCTGAACATATGTATTTACTTTAATACTTCAATATTCAAAGTTTGTAGAAACACACTGCATGCCACTTAGTGCACTTAGGGATAAGTTTGACACGTTTGACCTAGATTCAAAGGGACCTCAAATAATATCTCCTCAATATAATACTTACATGAAAAAACCTTCAGGAGGAAGATCACATGGAACAGTCTCTTCATCTCAACACCTCACTAAAAAGAGAAGATAAATGTCCCTTTATTCAGTTCTAAGAATTACTTTTAGAAAATTATCAATCTGCAAACTGTCTCTATATTAGAACCTTCTGGGGTCAGGTTTACTAGGCTCCTTTTGGAATACTCAGTCAATATGTGTCTGACTCTCTGCTACTCTCTGTTACATTTTCAGTGAATGTCATTTCCTCTTGACGGTGACATGTCTCCTCCTGCTGGGTCTGATGTTGTCTCATTTACTGTCTCTTTCCCAACAGCTGTTATTTCCTTCCTTAGGTGTTTTCTTCTTTTACCTAAACAGATGTTTTTTTCATTTACCGTGTGTCTTTTTTTCAAAAGCTCAAATGAAGACCTGGCAGGCTATCTGATGTGCCAGTAGGGTGTAGATTTATTATGGATAAACCACAGTGGAGTTTTACCCTTTATTGACACATTGTGTGGCCTATAAGTTTTTCATTTGCTTTATCGTTTTGGATTATGAGACTCTTGGTTGGAGCACTACGTACCATGAGGGGGGGCTATATTGGATCACTTTGACGTGCTCCATGGCTTTTATTTTTTCCTATTTTTCTCGCAATGACTCTTCCTCACAAGTCCAGAGTAGCCGAACTGAAACCATAGATGACATAGATAATTCTTCCAATTCAGCTATTTTGGCCTTAAATTAGAAATCTGTAATGAATGCACTTTGAATTCTCAGTTTGGTGAATAACTGTGAAAGTGTTTCCTTTTCCTTTCTATGTTTTGCAATTTGTATGTTTACTGAGAAGAAAATTACATTTTACAGAGTAGGCTGGAGAATGAGAAAGCAGTGTCCTCTACTGGTGACATTTCAATTTCACTTTCTTCTCTACCACTAACTCCTAAGCATTATGTTTTGTGCCAGCTGTGTCTTAGCTTCCTATGACTGTGTAAACTGGCTGCACAGTAATACATGGCAGAGTCTGTGATGTTCACTGCCCCATTCCGTGTGAATGTAGATTTCGCATTACTTGGCCGAGTCATTATCCACTTATTCTCAAACCCATTCTCTAGGTTGACATCTTTCTCGCCATATGACACTGCAATAAGCACCAAGCCTTCTCCTGGTTTCTGCCGGTACCAGTACATATTGTAGCTCTCGGTTGCATCATGCGTACAGGATATTTCATCCATACTATTTCCATCATGCAGCAATATAAAAGGATTGTCCTGAGTCACGGTCACAGCGTGGGACAGACCTGGGGACAGTGGAGACAGAAGAAAAAATTTTATTTTCTGCTTCACATGTCACAATATGGAATATCTATATCTCCATTTTTATAAATAATTTTATACCCATTTTCTATTTCTGATAATGTAAATCAGTGGTGCACAAAAGGCAGATCCCCAGATGGTTTAAAACTACAGTTTCCATGATGCTTTATCGTTCTAAAGACATGCAAAGCATCATGGTAGTTGTAGTACTACTGCACCTGGGAATCTACCTTTTGGGCACCCCCAATGTAAATACTTTGAGAGACATAGTTTGATTACTGCTTTGCACAAACTCTGGCTAAATGGTTGATGCTCAATCTCTGCCCTGGATTCAAAGAAACCATAGACAAATCTCCTGAGTCTCCATCTTACATGAGAAAACCTTCAGGTAGAAGATTACACGGAGCAGTCTCTTCATCTCAATGTGTCTCTGTAAAGAGAAGACGAATGCCACTTACATTCTGTTCCTGGAATTCTAAGTTATATCTAAAACATAATCAGACAAGCTGCCTCTTTATTGGCACATTCTGGTGGACTAGAGTAATACGCTCCTCCTAGATAATGTGTCAGCTTTGATTGCTCTCAAAATTACTGCACTTCCTTTCGAGATGTCTCCTCCTGCTACACATAGAGATGCTCTATATTTTTACTGACTCTCTTTTCTCTAATTTTCACTTCCTCTCCAGATTTTTCATTACAATGCTCAGATGTTCAGTCTTCATCGTCAACTTTTCTTCCTGCTAGAGACAAACACACATCTTCAACTACAGAGTCATTTTAATCTACACAAAATATTTGTGTAGATTAAAATGACACCCAAACAGTAAGCCTCATTCAGAACCAATGACAGTTTTCACACATCACTCAAGTTGTGTTGGATACAATGTAAATATTTTTTCCATACAATAAAACACATAAAATGCAATGTCAAATAATCACAATATGCAGTGTGATTACTCATAAAAATGTATCCACTAGTCTACAAAGAACATTTATTTTAAAAACTTTGTAGGGAATATGTGAAACAAAATAATCAGAGTAGGGATTTTATAAAAAAAAATTTTATAAAATTGCTGTGTCCTTGGAAAATCAGATCATAGAAATGCATGTAAACCATGCACACAATTTTTGTCGATCAGCAACTCATCCGAATTCTATAACTCCAAATCTCCATATGACTAAATCACAAAACAAATAAGATTTTTCTTTTGTTTCATGATTTGGAGTATCCTCCATGGCTCCCAAACAAAACAAAAAAATGATTGATAGAAAAAATATATATTTTTTGTTTAATATCCTTTCTTCTCTCTTTTGGTTGTACATTCTCATTTTTATCTGTGAGTTGAATGGCTCCGAATTTTACAGTATACTGATGGGTGCACTTTTAAACCACTTGATTCACAGTGAGAACATAGAGGTGAAAAAGGAGGGGCATTAAAAACATGCATATTCAAATTATAATGTATTTATATAATATATTTAAATTCTATTTATAAATATAGCTTTTTTTTCCCCTCCTTTATTCCTCTCTATTGATCACTTGTCCGTTAATAGAATGAGAGTGTATTGGCTGCATTGGTTTGTCTGAATCATTTTTCCTGAAACAATCGCATGGATAAAATTCATCTTAACCAAAACCCCACATGGACAAAACCCAATTTAACCAAAACTATTTATTTTTCTGACAAATCGATACGTGCTACATGGTTTTGCCATGCAATCTAGTCTGTATACTCCTGCAAAAGAATCAATAGTCTGTGGAGTGGCAAGAGATGAACATATCAAGTTAAGTGAACCACACTCTGCAGGAATGAAGATGCTAACAAACGGTAGATCTCCAGATGTTTCAAAACTACAGCCTCCAAGATGCTTTGTCATTCTCAAGGCATTATAAAAACATGCAAAGCATCACAGGAGTTGTAGTTTGATTTTTCAAGTTTGTGTTTTATTGTTGTTTGTACATATATAATATACATATTTTTCTTTTTATCAGAGATTGGAACATGACAAGAAATAAAGCATTACATTCGGGTAAGAAGCAACAAACACAAACAAATTGGTCCTGTTGGTAGGGTTTAGATTGCATCTCCACGTTTGAGTGCTGCCTATCTTGGCCCATGAATGGGAGTAAGGGTGATTATATAGGCCACAATACAAACAGCCTAATGGCTAGGTTTGGTGTCTGGGTGAGGCACTCAGCTGATAAGCAGCGCCCTCAGGTTCTATGGTTGATGGCTGTGTGTTGCCCCCCTTAGAGTTTCCACTCTTTTGCTTGTTTTTTCCCTTGGCTGGGACCTTCGTATTTGATGTGGCCAATAGGTCCTGGTTCTGTAGAAATATTTTGGGGTCTAAAGGTAAATCTGCTACTCTGGTGACTCGGTCCCTCTGGTCACTATTCTCCAACTCTCGATTGTCAGCTGAATATTCAGGGAAGATTTTTATGGAAGCGTATTAACCAGACACACACTCTTTGATTTCCATAATCTTCAAATGTATTATAAAAAGGATGGCATATTTATACAGTATTGATTATGAACTTTGACATACATTGGTTATAATGTGCTTACAAAAGATAGATGTTGCTAAAAGCGGAAATAGCTGATCTTGCAAAAGACCACGGTCAATGTTAGTTTGCGGATGCGTCTGTTGATTCAAAAGCAGAAGTGATAAATCAAAAATAACCTGTGGTTTGTCTAGTTTTTAGCTCTTGTGTAAATCTTAAGAAAGAGAATATAATATCAGAAATTATAGATGAGAATCATTAACCCCTTCCCTTCATTCCCCTCTTTGAGCAAGACCTTGCTCATACCCCATTTGGGTTGTTTTAGCCAGGGTAGCTGTTCATGGTATATTCAGAATTGCTAGCCAATTCTGCAGGACTTTCATTATTTCTTCGGCCACTATTCCCATGGCATATACCCTGGCTAACATAGATTACATGTAGATATTTTGGGGAGTATAGCTATCATGCATGTAGAATTGTAAGTATTCCGCATACACTGGTGGTGGAGGTAGTGGACGTGATGGGGGTGTGTGTTTGTAGATGCAGAATATCACTCTTACAAGTACATAAAAGAAGAGAGAGATAGAAGCCCCCATAACCAAGATCAGACCTATGGTTTTTACTGAATTAAGGATAGAAGAGAAATTAAACCAATCACCCCAGTAATTATCTACTCCAGAGTTACTCTTTATTTCCTTTGCCAAATCTTCTAATTTCTGTATTGCTAATGTTACTTTTCCATTGGGGCCAGTGTTCTGAGGGATATAGGTGCAACATACTCCTGAGGCAATGTATTTACAAACCCCCCCTTTCTCCGCTAGAATCATATCTAGGGCCATTCTATTTTGAAAGGTCATCTGGGAGGTAGCTTGTAATTGTTCAGCAAGGCTTTGTAGGGCATCTTTAGTATAATTAATGAACCTTTGCTGATTGCAGTCATTCTCAACTCAGCAGAAAAAAAACAAAACAAAAAACACTTAATACTTTTGCAGACAGATATATAGAAAATGGATGTTTAAGACAGAATGGAACTTGGGCTTATAGCAACTATATTATTGCACAACCAGGACCTTGCGTCCTATATCTTTTAACCATTTCCCTATTCCAAAAGTCCAGTCAAAACCAGTCATATCCTCACGCAGTTCCTCAAAACATGGGAATCCATCCCTGGCACACTCAACATATATAAAAAACACACATAGTACATCCATCCCTGGGTCAGCTAACACTTCCTCTCTCTCTGGCTAACTCTACAAAAATAAAAATAAAAATAGTTCAATAGTTCAGCATAGTTCAGAAAAATAGAATAAGTCTTTCACAGAGTATAAAGAAATCAGTTTAGACACCAGACATTTTGTTCCATAAAATGGCTAAGGGTAGCAATATGGCTGACAACAAGACAATGTCAGCTTCCACATAGTTGTTCTTTTGTTTGCTGGATTTTCACCACAAAGCTCTGTGCAACACCCCAATGGTTGAAAGGGTTATTACAGAACCAGCGGTATTAGACAGCACTGCACCTTCAGGACTTTCCAGGTTCTTGCGTGCAAAGTTTATGTCCTCATAAGTATCTCAGTTTCTTCGGCCTGCATGGATAATGACCAAACAGATGTAATTGCAAAATACTTATTGCATGGTCAGCCAGAGAGATTGATGTGTAGTCCCAGAAATCAGGCGGCACAAACACTCCAGGACGGTCTCTACAATCATACAAACACAAGGATCAATACAACATTAATTAATTACCTAGGCTAAAACTAAAATTAGAGATTAAGGTTAAACCCTTAATTTGTGTAACATGTACTTCTCTTATATTTGCTTATATTTTATGCAATCTGTCTTCTATGAAGTTTTACATAAACCCCTTTGGAATGCCTTTGTACGGATGAGAGTAGCACTCACTCTATAGAAATCCTTGTTAGGATGAATATTAAAACACTAACATATACATATGGGGCTAATTCCCAATAAAACTCTGTTCCTAAACTGGAACCTTGATTTGATATTCAAAATGTATTACTTTAATAATCCCGAATAATTCAATACTCTTGGATTAACACCTAAAACTATATAAAATATTACAAACATGAACCATCTGTGTATTAGGCTGGGGCTGTTGGGTGTGGGTATAGATTGGAAGCTGTGGTTGATATTGAGGAATCTGTGGGGGTGGGTTTGGACACTCATTTTTTCAGTGACCCTGCTATCCACAATTGCTGTATCTTCCCCAAAAAATCATTTGGGGTCAAAAAGGGCCAGTCACAGACCAACAAGGAACAAAAGTGAACAAGGAGGAAGCATATTCCATATGCAGGTCGGGATTACCTAACTCACAACCCCTCTTTGTGTACCCCTCTTTGTACCACACAGATTTACTATTAATAAGCTTTTAAATGTTTTATATAAAGCAAGGTTGTCTAGGGGTATATACATATAGGCATAGCCTTCATATAGGGCTTGCAATACTGACAGTCTGTGTCATGAGCGTAATGCAGACATGCGGTTAGGTACTTTTCCATTATTATAATATATAGAAAACACTAAGACCTTGCAAATTTTTAAAACGCATATTGCTACCTGTACCTGGTGCCATGCAAGGATGTAGTTGGGACGTATTTCAAATTGAGTATAAAAAGTCTAACCACAAAACTAAATGTTATACGCTTATCAAGAAAACAAGTTTAACCCGTTAGTGCATACTTTGGATAGCCTCTTTACATAATTTGGCACCTAGTGAGATTATTATATTATTTATTAATTGTCTTCTGGATCTGCAAAATGCTTTCAATTTACCCATACAAATATAATACAGTAGTTTAGGAGATTAAAATTACCTCACTTATAAATTTCAGAAATTGTCTAATCTCTATTAAAAATACCATGTTATTATTACCCCATAATCAATGAGGCATTCTAGATGAATCTTACTTTGACACAAACAATGCAATATACTTTAAAAGTAGAGTTAACTCTGAGCTGGACAATACTCCCCTATTAGAACTCCTTTATGAGGGAGAGACATCTTGTCCATTCAATCCTTTTTATCAGTAAAAGAATGACTTTCAGGATTAATCAATTTGCAAAGGGAAACGTGGACCCACGATTTGAACAGCAGAAGTTTGCAGGGCCCCTTTCACGTGGGATGTAACAAGCGCTTTTCTTGCTCCAGGAGCGATAGCATACAATTGTTTCATTCTAGCCGGCTGAACAGCATTTCACCTTTTGTAAAAACACTAAATGCTTGCGTTAATGATATGCAAATCACTCTGACTAGTTAAACTCCTACACAATGGACAATAAAATACATAAAACACATAACACACCAATTCATTTCAAACCATATAACTCATACTCAGCATCCAATGTAATATTACATGTCATCTCACAAAACAGACATCTCACAAAACAGACGTAGTAGAAACACATAATGGATACCCAGCAGATATGCCAATACAGAAAACACATTCTTGGGCACGCAACTACACTCTCTGTGTCTCTCCTAGGAAACATGGGTAGACACAATATGAAAGCAATCTTAAACTAGCACCTCCAAATCTCCATTCCCATATAGCTATATCAGACCACAACACAGAGCTTCTCTAAGCTCATAGAACTACTCTTGGCCAAAACGCTAGTATTCAACAGCTAATAAAAGTTATTTGACTGGCATTTTTATCAGTATCACTAGACTGAGACAAACTGATTCAAATATAATTTAAAACAACACAGCAACATATAAATTAAACCACTTTCCAGTTAAGCTGCACACTTCACACATTATCACAGTCACCATTTACACAGAATAAACAGTTAACAGCTGTACTCAGAACATATTATTGTAAGGTATACCAATTTTAGTTTATATTAGATTTATTTTAGGGATTCTTATGTATACTTTTTATTTATTTATTTATTTTAATTCTTATTAACTTAATTACTTTAATCTACTATAGTATTGTATATAGAGAAAGGATCCATTTATATAGCGCGCTCATAACTCAAATATTTGTATGAAACTTCCATTAACTAATCTGAGATGATGCTGCATCAACTTAAATCTTATAGAAATTGAGCAAACATTTGGACAGATTACACAGACATGGTTTCACCAGAATCTTACAGAACTCTCAGAGACTTAAAAAAATGTATAGACCGGTCAGTCTCCAAGAGCCTTAGTAACACAGGTAGAAACCTTTGTCCATGATGTCTGATTCAGGCTATATACCACAATTTAAAAGAACAGAACACATATAATGTGAGACATAGAAGACACAAGCAGTAGTTATTACACTGGATCATTTAAAAGGAATCTGTTGCAATAAAAAAGGTTAGTTTACAGCGCAAAATGAAGCATGTGTTGGACCGCTGAAAATGTAGATGTTGCTCTTATTTACAAACAAAAATCATATTTACAGTATGGATCCTCTGCAACAAACACACAGGGCAGGGAAGATCTGCTGATTGGTGTTTCTATACAATTAATCCCATATGGGGAATTAACTTTCAAATACTAATGAAGTGACTTTTTGTCTCAGTTATAAATATACTGAGCTCATCATGCAAACAATGTAACACATTTACACTATCCCACTCTCATAGAAAGTGTAGTGGGCTTATGGTATTAAAGTAATAATCATACCAGGCACACAGATCCCATGTGAAATAACTTGCAATAAAACAGAGTAATAAACTTATACTTCTATGCGACAGAAAGAATAAAGCAAAAGATTTAAGTAGGTCTATCAGGCACAACCTGCGAGCCAGTTCTTTTCTAATATACAGTACTGCTATCATATATATATGTATATATATTGGTCACTCAGGACCTGAACTTACATTTCCCATACTGCTGACTCAGGGTGGACACACTACTAACTTACCAAAGTGTGTCCCCAGTATAGACAATCACCCAATTGATGGAGAATCATTGTTTGCAATAAAGACATGGACACTACAAATGTGCTTTAACAAGATTCTCAGTGAGTATATTTTCAGGGTTAGCATATAAAGCAAAAAGAGTTTAACTATTTCATATCCTTACAGTCAGTACTAATGATTATAAACCTTGTTTAAGCATAAAATACATATGAACAAGAAAAGTTAACTACTTCATATTCTTGCATGGTAATTTCCCATTCCTAGGACAAATCTTTCAAACACTTATTCACACTCACAACCAGACTTAACTAATGACAATTAGAGGGTGGACAAGGTGAACCTGAAACTCTGTGCACACTATCGTAGTATATTCACTTATATACTAAATTCTCTGTCTATATCACTTTATAGACTTCCTTTTATCTGTCTAATTCTCTTATTAGACCTTCTCTAGTTCACTTACTAGAAATACATATATCTCTCTGTCTAGTTCCCTTACTAGACTAATTTAACGGGACCTTATGTAAAACTGAGTCACATAAAACACATATACTAAATAACCTTTCCTAAAATGATGTAGACTTACAAAACCATGGGGATCATAGATTCAGGGCGTCAAGATAGACACAAGGAATTACTACTCACCCAAAATGGTTTGGCTACAATCCCACTTCTGACACCAAGCTGAAAGGTAAATCTGCTACTCTGGTGACTCGGTCCCTCTGGTCACTATTCTCCAACTCTCGATTGTCAGCTGAATATTCAGGGAAGATTTTTATGGAAGCGTATTAACCAGACACACACTCTTTGATTTCCATAATCTTCAAATGTATTATAAAAAGGATGGCATATTTATACAGTATTGATTATGAACTTTGACATACTTTGGTTATAATGTGCTTACAAAAGATAAATGTTGCTAAATGCGGAAATAGCTGATCTTGCAAAAGGCCACGGTCAATGTTAGTTTGCGGATGCGTCTGTTGATTCAAAAGCAGAAGTGATAAATCAAAAATAACCTGTGGTTTGTCTAGTTTTTAGCTCTTGTGTAAATCTTAAGAAAGAGAATATAATATCAGAAATTATAGATGAGAATCATTAACCCCTTCCCTTCAGGGTCACCAGAGGATGAAAGGGTAAGCATTTCTTCTCCATGGGGGTGCCACCAGAGAGCCCTCTATATCCCAACTATACTTGACTGAATGGTCCCTCTACCTCTTGACAATCGGGGCCAGCTTCCTCTTCACAGCCAATACCGAGAACGGGAGATCGTTAAACAGTGACACTGAGCAGCCTTCAAAATTAATACTCCCAATTGTTCTGTAACGATTTATGATGGCGGCTTTCACCGCTATGTCTCTGGTTACTGCAATCGTATCCCTAGGTAGCGGACTTCCTAACTCAGAACACCAAATTTATCAGTGGGGGGATCAGCACTCTTAATGCCCATTGAAGTAATCAGCCTCTGGGCAAATGGCAGCAGTGCTTCCCCTCCTACCTCCTCAGGGATTCCTCAGAGGCAGACGTTCCAGCATCTCTGTCGGGACTCCAGTGGGCCACTGCTCAGTTCAGTTGTTGGACTTGCTGTTTGAGCCCTTTAATCTGGCTCTGTGCTTCCTGCAGTTGGCCATCCCTAAAAGCCTCCCTCACCTCCACTGCTTTAACTTTCTGATAGATCACCACAATCTCGGTCTGTGCTTCAAGCAGATCTGCTTTCAGACCTCCCTCAGGTCTGTCAGGAGCTTCTTTATGTCTCCCTAAGTAGATGGAGATGAGTCGTCATCCGAGTCAGAGGGCTTGTGCACTCTGCTGATTCAAGGCGAGGTGAGCGATACTTCATCCTCTTGGGATTCCTCCAAGGTTTCCTGCTCGCTCTGGGCCTCGGGTGACATCTTGGGTGCTAGTAGTGGTGTGGGCCTCTCAAAAGAGAGCTTGATATCTGGCAATCGGGGACATTGCTGGCATTAATACTTTCTGTGTTTATGCCCCATTGTGTTGCTGGCAGAGTGCGGTAAGTCTTCAGTCTGCACGCTGTTTTGCAGAGTCTCAGCAGAGCTCCACAGAGAGACATCTGGTTAGGTGCTCTGCCTGTCCTGCCCCCACAGATGTTGTAGTTCTAAAACATCTACCTTTTAGGCACCCCTGATCTAAGTCGTACGGGGCCAGATTATGATACCAAATAGAATTCGATTTTTTTTTTTCCCCAGATTAATACCTATTGAATTTCTGAGACTTTCCAAATGTTGAAGAATATGAAGACATAGTGACAATAATATGTGACAAAGTAATTCAAATAAAAACTTTACTTGATATGCTGTGTAATTCTCAAAAAAGGGCACACCGCTAGTTTACTATAGTCCAATCATATTGCCCTACAAAATTTGTATATCGTTTTAATGTTAATGTACGTATCAAGAGGAAATTAATCACTTGAAGTCTTATTAGCCCTAGGAGAAATAGACTTACTGTTGAATATTGAATTTGGGGAAAGTTTGAAGACAAGAGTATAATCTACCTGTTTGGATTTTTTTTTTTTTTTTTAGTTTATATAATGCTCAGCTGTTTATAAATACTAGCATTTCTAATATTAAGATTGAATTTTACCAGCTTGGCCTTAAGTCAGTGGAATTTGCTATAAATAAACACCAATTTAAAAAAAAAACTGCAAATGTATACAAACAGATAAACCTGTTTTATTTTTGCTCCAAAAAAAGAGTTGATGCTGAAAAATCAGCTAATTTGTTAAAAATATTACAGTAAAATATTACAGTATAACATGTTTATGTTTCCTTGTAGAATGTTCATATCTTTTCTAGTAAAAGGCGATTGGTTAGTTAGCAGAGTAGGCAGGAGAATGAGAGATCATCATTAACATAATCTCGTTTTAGTCTACTTGCATCAGTAAAGTTGTTCCACTAACATAATCTGTGCACTTTCTCAGGGTCCAAAGTAAGCAGGAGAATGAGAGAGCAGTGCCCCCTACTGGTGATTTTGTTGCTCGCACTTTTACTCCAGCACTAACTTTTGAGGTACATGCTTTGTGGTGTCTGTTTCTCAGCCTCCTATTGGCTCTCTGAGTACACTAATATGTATGTGATCTGTGCATTCGGTAACTGGTAGGACCCATGTGAGTCTCAGGCCTGCTGAACAAAGGAGGTGTGTGTATGTGTGTTCAAAGTGAATTTCAAATTTATGGTCAAAACAGCTAAACAGGAAATGTTCTCTGACAGCTATTCTTTCAGTTCAGCTACTCTGTTCTTAAATTTTAAATTTAAATTTGAATTCTCACTTTAGTAAATACTCCTGATAAACTTTTTTTGTATTTCTGTATGGAGTATGTGTGTAAGTGTAGGTGTTTGAATGCAGGTGTGCATTTTTATGTAGTGTATACACTTACACACAGTGATACACATACATACAGATACACAGACACAGATACACAAGCAGATACAAAAACACACAATGACACATAGTTACACACAAAGATACACACACACTTATACCTACACTGACACACACATAGATAAACAGAAACTCCTAAACATTGACATAGAATACATACACAGACACAGATGCACACACTAACACAAAAGGACACACAGATACACACACACAAAGATACACACACACTGATACACAGTGACACACACACTGACACACATATACACACAGACATTCCTGAGACACACACTTACACACAGATACACATAAACATTCCTGACACACACACACACTGACACACAGATAAACACATACTGACAGACACACAAACTGAAAAAGATATACACACATATACAGACACAAAGACATAAATACTGACAGTGGCACACACACATAAAGACATACATACTGATACACAGATACATACATACACACATACATACGGACATACAGACACACACATACATACAGACATACATAGAGACACACACAAACATATATGCTGACATACATACAGACATACAGACCCACACACATACATGCGGACATACAGACATACAGGCATACATATACACAGACACACATACACACTGACACAGAGACAGACACATATACATACATGCTGAAATACATACAGACACATACATACTGACATATTTGCAGACACAAACAAACATACTTATATTAACAAAGCGCAAGTGGGCACACCCGTTAAAATAGTCGTCACCATTAGATAAAGAAAATTAATGAAAGTCAAGGTGCTCACTCCAAAAGCCCCATTTCCAAGAGGCTATACATGTAATCATATAATACTAGAAGGAGGAGAACAACTAAGTAAAATGCAAAAAAGCGTTATTACACAAAAAACACATGTATAAAAGGTATCAACATAGATATCAAATAATTGGAAATGTTAAAACATCTCTATCCAATATGCAAACAATAATTGCAAATAAAGTCAAAGCAGGTATATCAATGTTGGTATATAATGGCAACTAGGTCCTCTGTACCACATGCTCCCTTGATAAAGGCGGGTACGCCGAAACGTTGGGGGCTATTTTTTGTATTTGATGTCTGTACCCTCCTCTCATATTTCCTGTTGTTCGTGGTATGTGTCTTTTTGTTTATCAGTATATACAGGTATTTAATATACTGTTGCTCTGAATTAGTGGTCATACCACTTTAATTGGATTTTTTTTGATCAATACTGTTTTTTTTCCTATTTTAACTTTATCTGCAATTATTGTTTGCATATTGGATAGAGCTGTTTTAACATTTCCAATTCTTTGATATCTATGTTGATACCTGTTATACATGTGTTTTTTGTCTAATGAAGCTTTTTTGTATTTTACTTAGTTGTGCTCCTCCTTCTAGTATTATACAAACAAACATACTGATATACATACAGACACACACAAATATACTGACCAAATCACATACCGTGATAGACGATATTAGCGTGCTGGATAAATTAAAACTAGATTCCTCTCTCTTTTAGAAGATATACGCAATAATTACAATGTAACACAGCAAAGGTACCACATCTTCAACAAATCAGCCTTTATATAATTTTATTGTATATTGAGAAACTATGTATCCAGTTTATATGGTGAAGCAGAAAATATACTCTAGAGCACCCCCTGCAGAGCAAGACGTATAGTTGCATCTCCTCATGCTCCCTCTGTGGTTGGAGTTTTTTGCCAGCTGCTTCCCTGGGTTTTGCTGCTGTGTATACTCGATGCACAGAAATACACAGCCGAGTCCTCTGTTTTGGCTGATTTAAGCCGTAGAACCGAATTGTGAGTGTCTTTTCTCTCAAGCTCCCAGTCTGATTGAAAGTCTGGTTCCATATTCTGTGTTTCACCTTCTCCAGTGGACAAAATCATAAGCTTTAGTCCTTCTGCTGGTTTCTGTTGGTACCAGTACATGTAGTAGTTGCTGGCATCGTTTTGGTTACAGCTCATGTTGGCTGACTCCCCTGGTGACACTAGTAGCAACTTTTCATTCTGAGTGACAACTGCTCCCTGGCATACATCTGCAGGAGAATAAAGAATTAGAAGATGAAGAGGAATAAGCATCTAAATACATGTAATACTGGAAAATATGAACACTAAAGACAAGTGGTAGTGAAAAAACAAAAAACAAAATCATCTCTCCTTTAAGTTGGTCACTGATGACATGTCCTTCCATAAGGCTGTAGTGTATATTGAATAACACTAACTATTCATTATAATCACAAATCTATAATCTTCTGGATTCACCCTTACTTGGAAGGCAACTCAGGATAAGGAGCAGGATCCAAGTCTGAGTCTTCATCTTCTCTCTGGCCATTGATGGGATTTCAGGACCAAGATGAACCATTAGTGGTGATTAATCAGATTTGTGAAGAAATGCACATGCTGTCCATGATTTAGCATATGTTTGAAAAACATATGACTGTCCTTCTAAATATTCTCATAGACTATATTTTGGTGTGTTTGGGTATCCCTCCTCCCTTTTTGAGTTTTTCTCCTCCCTCTCAGAATGTTGTGCTCACTGCCTGGGTGTTTCTGCTCCCACCCTATTCTTTTATCTCTAGTGTTTTTGTTGATGTTCTGTCACTATTCACACCAGATATTTCCTGTGTATATGATTGTCTCTTATTTAGCTCTGTTAATGTATAGCAGTTGGCTGTCCTATTTAATGATCCGAGCAGATATAAAATGATTATGTATCAGTTTACATCAACAGTCAGAAGTTACATTTTAATTTTGACTACTCTGAACTTAAATTTAAAATTCACATTGAATTCACGTTGAATTCTCAATTTAGTAAATAACTCTGTAGATATTTTGGATATGCAATAGTTTGCAAAGTAATGTTCATTGCATGTGTTGCACTTGTATCCATGATTTTTGAGTAACGGGAAATGGGATGCAATTCTCACATCTATAGCATTCCTCTGGACACAACATGCTGCCATTATATCCCAACAAAATTCAGGTATCTGGTGCAAATAACATCATATGTGTTAAGATAGAGGCACGCAATGTCTGTTATTTTCTATTTTGCTCCTCATCGCAAGTTGTTACAAATTCTATTGTACTAACTAGAAGACGCAATAAAAAGAACCTGGGGATTCTAAATTAACTGCTAAACTATAGGAAGTAAATAGAATTTAGAAAAGAGAGGAAGGCCAGGAAAATAAGGTTTAAAGGATGTAGCGGCCAGGGCAAGAGGGATGTGTAAGAGGGAAGTTGAAAGGAGGCTGATGTCATGGTGGTAATGAGCCTTCTGACATGGTAAGAGGGGTGAGCAAGTAAGTCAGGAAAATAAAGATTTGTCAATCAGAGTGTGTCCAGTGAATTAGGACAGTGGTAATAAGGCTGTGACCAGGGGATTAGGGTACTCATAATGAGGGTATGACCAGGGGATTAGGGCAGTGGAAATGATTGTGTGACCAGGGTATCATTGTGGTCGAGACAGGTTTTCTTCTGATAAATATCTTAGTATCTTCTGAACCCTGTTACTTTCCCTGTAAGTTTCACTTCCTCTCAAGATCTCCTTATGCAGACTGCAACATGTATACATCTACTGTCTCTTTCCCAGTAACTTATCACGCACTATGTCAGGGATGCCCAAAAGATAGATCCCCAGATGTTGAAGAGCTACAACTCACATGAAGCTTTTCATGACAGCATCATGGAAACTGTAGTTTTAAAACATCGAGAGATCTAACTTCTGGGCACCCCTGTATTATGTGATACAGCGTGACTCTAATTCCACTTCTATTATACTTCTTTTTGAAGCTGGTGCCTAGAACTTCACTGTATATTGCAAGGGTTATTGCAATTGATCATATTTTAATTGCTATTTATTATAAGATTTTCAATACGATATGACAATGTTACAATATTATTCACAAATGATGTTTGTGTAATGTATATTTCAATCTGTACATGACTAAAAATGTTAAATTATGTTAAATTATATAAATACTGTAAGTCTTTGCACTAAGGCTGCTTACAAATCCATAGCCGGGTGCACAATTACCAGGACTTAAATATATCCAAAGATTATAAAAAGATGGTTGCACTCAAGGTCTTCACGGTCTAGGGACTGAAATGTAAATTTTTAATGGAATTACAATAAGGCATTGAATTTTATTTGAAGACCGTGAGTGAAGCCACCTTTTTATAGCATTTATACATATAAATATATGAAAACAGAAAACAGATTTAACAGATTGATATTAGACTGGTGAGTATTATTTTCAATAGATAGCCATGGTAATTGTGTGGTTTCTGTAAAAAGTGTGCCTTAATTTATTGAAGGGAGAGTTTTAACGTATGAAAGCAATCAATATAATAATACATTAAAGGAGGAATTAAATATACAATAGATTGATGTATCTATGCATAACCTTGATTCAAAGGGAAAGGCCAGGTGAAGAGAATAAAAGTTTCTTTATTGTGTCACTATTAATTAATTTCATTAAAATTAACATTTCTCTATAAAATTATCAGATGCCTAGCAAAACATAGAATTTCTCTAAACCTCTGCAAAAAGGAAATTTACCTTCAACATAGACTTTAATCGACGTAATAGTTAGAAAATCTTTGAGCACCGTTCCCCCAGTTTGTCTTAAATAGTTTTTAAATAGTTTGAAGTAGCCCTTCGTTATTGTTGCCTATAGTTTGTAAAATATGAATGTTGCATATGGTGGATCAATTATTAATCAATAGGGAAACATGCAACATAAACAACAAGGCAGCACTTTTCATGCACTGCCATCAGTATGATGAAGTGATATGTATTCAGGAAAGCATCGTTGATATGGCAATGCTAATTTCAGCAGAGATGGAGGATATCAGACAGACTGTCTTCCCTCTCTTCATCCAGCAGTACTGACAGACTACATGGCAGCCTGTAAATAAAAATGTTCTTTCTAAATGAGCTAACAGTTAAAAGAAATTGAAAAACCTTTAGTCTCAACTCTGCACAAGAGGAGGAGATTTAAGAAGAGAGGTATTGAACATGCTTCTTTCTCTGGTCTCCAAGCCCCCCCCCCAACCCCCCGCATAACTGAATGAATGACATCACACATCAGTTCTAGAAGCAAATTGAGCATGTGCGAAGTCTAAACTTTTACACAAACAACTTTAGACTCTGACATGCCACTGTACCTAGTCCAGTTTCTCATAACAAAATTAGTTCTGCCGTAATGCTATACCAAACCCTTTTTTTTATCAATTCCATAATCAATTTTACACGTTTTCATCTAGTTATGGACATTAATTTTTTGTCAGATATTTCTGTGGCAATTTACTGTTTACCCTAAGTGTTTCTACAAATGAGCTAGCCATCATTGTTGCAGATTGTCCTGCATTGAATATGTTATGGAAGCCACCTGCAGATGACATTAGTGACATTACTGGGAGCTGCTTGTATGTAGGTAGTGGGGAATCGCGATGCAGCATAATAACAGAGAACTAACCCACTAACCCCCCAAAAAAATTACAGACAATGTAGCATGGATGAAACAGGTCACATCATTTATTATATGATAAATACAGTATAACACATCCATAATTTATTTTAATCTTTATCATTACTTGCTATAAACCAAACGTGAAACATAAATAACCATAACTTAACAAATAAGTTAACATATAGTTTCATACAGTATAACCCAACCGTCCTTGCCAATATACTGACCATGAGCCTATGCATCAATTCTTCTTACCGCCCCCCTCTGCATAAATTTTATCCCAATACTTACCACCAGCCGACCTTTTCCTCACTCGGTGGACATGTCCAAACAGGTAACCTAAGGTTAACCTTTTAGAGCAGGGAGATTGAGACCTGAAACTTGACCACCTCATTTCACATATTGACATAACCGCCACAAACTTAATTGGCAAGGACATACCCCCGGCTAGCTGCGACTAAATATACCAATGGGGTGGGCGGGAGGGAGCTATTTGCTGGTCCGAATCTCAAGTGGCACTGAGGTAAGACCACCCCCACCAAACTCACACACCACATAATCCCACCCACACCTTCATACACAACCAATCACACACATCCATCTCCACACTCATACATGTGCCCTTGTCTGCTTAGCTGTGCTATCTCCCTAGGACCTAATCAGATATTCCTGGCTTCTGCAAAAATCCAATGTATTATTTCTTTAAACTGTAGATTGCTATCTGTAATTCAAAAGCGTGAATAGAAAAAATGTAGTAATAGTAATTATTACTTCCAGCGTACTCTAATGTATAGTTTGCGTGGCACACGGCTTTGCTTTTTGCTGCAGATTTTTGCTGTGAATTAGTGGCTGATAATAAATTTTAGTTATTTCCTTTTGAAAGATTCTGAGAATACACAGCTGGGACTGCTCTGACCTTGAGACCCTTTGTTTATTAAACTATTAAATGTTAACTGAGAGTGTAAAACAGAATGTGAGGACTGCACAATCACCTTAAAACGTGTTCTTTTTTATTGTATCTGTTCTTGTTTTTACCTATTTTTGATACTTACTTTGAGGATATCTTGGATTGAAGAATCCCTAAAATACATTTCTTTCTAAGTCATTAAGATTCTATGGGTTTGTTTCCATGTTTTTCACTAAAATGTAGATGTTACACAATAAACCAGACTTAGGAACAACAGAAAAATTCAGTTCGCCTGAAACAATTCATCTAAAAAAAAATGTTCAGGCAATTTGGGTTTCATCCATGTGGTGTTTTGGTTTTTGACACTTTTCATCAATGCAATAATTTCTAGAAAAAACGATTGTGGTAAAACAAAATGGCACAAAAATAAGCCAATTAGTGTACAGCAAAATAAATACAAAATAAAGTGTTTTACTTCCTGGACAGCATCCATGTTCAAGGCAGCTTCAACATGGATGCTGTCCAGGAGGTGGGAGGGTCAGTGAGGGAGGGTCTGCCGGAGATTGGCAGGGATGTGTCAGCTGACCGGAGTTCGCCACGAATGGTTCGTGGCGAACTGTTCGCTGCAAGTTCGCGAACGGTTCGCGACATCACTAGTTAACATGCATGATTGGCAGGCAGCCTGGCATGCATTCATGCCAGGCTAGCCTTCCAATTCTTTGGGCAGACACGCCACCTTTTTGGGCATGTTCGTCCCTCTCGGGAGTTCTGGTTACATGATCCGCGTCAGTGGCCCACCCTTTCAAACCACCCATTGAGTTCCTGCTTAACTGGACACTGCTGTTAGGGGGTATGGATTTACTTGAAAGATGAAAGCATGAATTAGAGAGAGATTAGCATACTTTAAGAGAATCTGAGTTTTCTTATAGCTGCATCCTACGAGTTTCCCTCTGGCAAAAATCTCCACCAGATACATAACACTTGAAATGTATGACTGTATTAGTGTTTTAAGTCGATAAGATTCTGTAATTAGGCCCATCATAATTGTTAGCACCAGGCCCAATAGGCTCTTAATCTGGCCCTGATTGGTTACTTGATCTTTGAATAAAAGTAGCATTTTGTTTGCTGGCTTCTAACCATCAATAATCTTGTTTTGCAACAATCATCTTTTTTTTTGTAGCTGTGGACACAAACCAAAACCAAATGGTTCATCTGTCATGTAGCTTTATGTATGTCAATAAAAAGATACATTTTCCAATTATTTGCTATAAAACTTACCCAGGACACTATGAACATTTCACTCAATACATGCACACGTCACCTGCAATTGTGTGAGCAAGATGCCTCTCACAGGCATTTATTAAAACCTACATACACTATGCTTATATGACTTAGTGATCAGTGGCATCACTAGCAGTGTCTGGATACCATTATAGGGCGTGAGAAACTTGTCCCTCACTGTTGGGGGTTTGGCAGAGAAGGGGTGCTGAACAGTGCAGCAACCTCTATAGTGTGGAACCCAGAATTCAAAGAAACCAATATACACACAAATCAAGGCAAAACAGTGTATTTTTTTATAAGTAAGGCAGTTAAATTAAATACAAACAACAGATAACTGAGTGTAGCAGGAGGGCCTCTTGGAAACAGGACAGACAGGGCAGGCCTCTCTGGAAACAGGACATGCCTCTCTGGAAACAGGGCAGGCCTCTCTGGAGACAGGACAGGCAAGGCAGGGCAGGCCTCTCTGAAAACAGGACAGGCAAGAAAGGGCAGGCCTCTCTGGAAACAGGACAGGCAAAGCAGGGCATGCCTCTCTGTAAACAGGACAGGCAAGGCAGGCAGTGCTGTATCTAGCGCGAGGCTGACAAGGCATTTGCCTTTGGCTGCACTTTCATGGCAGGCAGCAAAAAAAGCCACCCAAAACACCCTGGCTAAAGCCTTGCCAGCCTCTAGTCCTGGGGGCCCTGGAACTGCCCTCCCTCCTCCCCCCCGAGGCTAACATGCGCTGATGTAGGAGGCGAGCGGCGAGGGAGTGCTCTCCCCTGAGCTCTACCTGCTTAGCTCCCTCATGTGAACTGCAGTGATGCTGGGAGACAGAATATGATGTCACTCCAGCTCTGGCATCACTAAGAGGCACGTGAGGAAGCTGAGACGGAGGATCAGAACTCCCTCACCACCCGCCTGCACCGTTCACCTACTTGCCAGACCGAGCCAGCCCACCTGTGCCTGCAGAGTCAGCCCCACTGGACCCTAGGGAAGAATACACCACAGCACCTTAAAAAAAATGTGAGTTAAAAATAATTAGCAGTGTGTTTGTGAATGTGTTAGTGAGTGAGTCTGTTTAGTGAGTGTTAGTGTGTCTGTTAGTGAGTGTTAGTGTGTCTGGTAGTGAGAGTGTGTGTGTCTGTCACTAAGAGTGTTACCGGAGGAATAACAGGAACAAACCGCAGAAGCCACACATAGATATATGGACACAAGTCTTCAGGAAGTAACAGGTCTTTTATTTACACACCGATCGAGTCTCAGATGAACTCCTGTTCCAAAAATATCTGAGAGAGGGAAAGCATGGTGCAGAGGCCTTTTGTTAGCAGCATATCCCCTCCCATACAGTATAACCCCTCCTATATTCCTCAGACCAATCAGCACACAGGATATTCAGAATCACCTTATATGGGCAGACCACATGGCATTTACAGACAAAGGAATGTACTATCCACTTCCACACATGCTCAGTATACTGATGACTCATCCAACTGTTTGTAATCAGATACTAATTAGCATATGCCATGTGGAGATTTCGGCCTACTAAATTTTGACCATGCTGGAATCCCATCACATTCCCCCCTTTGATGCCTCTGATACAAAGTTATACAAGATGCATCACTAACCATAATTTGCCAACACCACTCAAGTAGCCATGGACCAGAACAGACCTTGTAATCATTCTAACTGAACTTCGTGCTCTCTCAACATTCCTCATCCTGATTATTCTCTCTCTGGGCTAGAGGTTCATACTTCCAGACAGCCATTACATGAGCAGCTGTCTTTCTTTCTATAGTACTCTCTATGATACTACGTATAGATCTGACCACTAATGGAATTAGGCAGGGCAGAAAGAGACATAAGAATATAATGAATATTACTCCTCCTACTAACGCCTTAATCCCTCCAAGCTGCTCATACCAACTTCCAAACCAACTACTAGGATTATACCCATTCCAGACCTGAGTCGGTACATGCGTAAGTTTAACCATGTGGCTTGTAAGTTCAGCCACTGCCCGTCCTTCATCATCTCTGTGCAAACAACAGTTGCTAAGATTAAACGTTCTGCATACACCTCCCTCTACTGCTAATAAGTAGTCCAGAGCTCAGCTATTTTGATAGATGGCTGATCTCATCCGAGTATTTTACTTAGCTAGAAGATTAAGTGCATGCGCTGTTTCATTGGTGATAATCTCAACCACCGCCTGTAGTCTTATAATACGGTTGAGCATATATATTGGGGTCTATATCCATAAGTACCATCTTCAGCCCAGGTAGCAGGTCCATAGTAATTTATGATACGTTTGGGAGGCCACTCATCTTCCCAACTACCTATATTCAATGAAGCTCGCTTCTTTTTATGATTCACATCATAAATCTTAACTCCCAAGGTCTCTCCTGTTTCAACTGGCAACAAGAAGAAGGATGGTTTGAGCGTACCTAGTACACATGCTCCCTCTCAATCTTGTGGTAACTCTGAATATGCTTTTTTACCACAGATCCAGTACAAATTCGCTGGGGTTTTCCAATTGGATGTAGCAGATAAGTCAAACCATACCTCTTTTAAATTGGTGTAATTGGCAAAAGGATTAGTAGGTTCCAAGACATTTGAAGCTGACCACCAAGTAGTATCTTTTGTATCAGCATTATAGGCCTTCTGTCCTTAGCAGGTTAACTCTCCAACAGATGTATTATACA